GCTTATTGAGGCTGGAGAGGGATTTAATAGGAGCCTCTTCCAGATTTTACTTCACAGGCCACCCTGTGGGAGAGCCGGGTCTCCCCCATCCTGGCCTACTGCTGTGGGGTTCATCCCGACAGGGAAGAGTAGAACAGCCCTGTGAATCTTTTTTATTTATCTAATTTTTGCACATCACAATAGCAGGTCCGTGTATACAATGTGCATAACCTGCATAGGAAACTGACCCGAGCCCGGTAAACCTTTATAGAGGCACGCTGCCTCTTCTTCCTCTGGAGTGGTGGTGAGTTTGAACGGCCCTCTATTTGGTGAGCCCTCAAATGCCAACCCTGCTATACCATGAATTACTCCTCCCTGTATGGGCGCCAAGCCCACGCTCCCCACTTTTCCCTGAGCAGAATAAGTGTCCCCTTCCCCATTCCTCCACCTGGTCCATTCAGGCTGCCATCCGGTCTCATCCTTGCCGTCCTTTTGACTGGTCAGCTCCATACAGTTTGAGCTCTGGCCTCTGTAACTGGGAGAGAGGATTTTTCCGTTCCTGTCCTTGAAGCAAGGATGGCAAGGTGCTCTCTTCATGTGCTCTGGACACGTCATCGTCGTCAGGAGAGGCCGGTCCCTCTCAGGAGGAGGACGTCATGCTTGGTAAAGGGGAGGGGCAATGAGAAAGAGGACCGTCCTCCAGGAGACGATGGACACAGGCCCGAGGGGTATCCTCAGACATAACAATTGTGAGGCTGATGCAGGACCGGGCAGTGTTTTGTTCTGTGGGGTCATGAAGAGAAGCCGCCCAGCTAATAGGAGACCCTGAGACCTCCCTGCTGCCACCTTACTGCTGTCGCTCTTAGAGCCCTACTGTTGGCCCCTGATCCCACTTTACTGGTTGGAGACCGGCCTCTGAGGCGGACTATCCCCCTTCAAGTTACTGAGGGCCTCTGTTGACCACTCTGCTGCTCAGAACCTGTCTTTCCCTGGGACTGGCATGTTCAACTTTGGACAGGGCTCTGGGCCCACTCTCGGGGACCTGGCTGCTCAGGCAAAGACACGAGGCCACCGTGAGGCTCAGGAAACAGGTCTATGTGGGCCGCCTCCTCCAAGGGAGGCTGTTGTCCCTGGGGACGTGCTGAGTCAATGCAGAGCCCAGACACGGCAATTCCATGCAATCCGCCTGCCCTGTCTCAGAATCCTCGTTCCAGACCGACACGCCGGAAGAGACAAGGAGGGGGTGGCCCGAGGTGGCACGGCAGCTTGCGGTGAAAAGCCTCGGCTTGTCTGTGTACAACGCAGTGGCCTGCGCTAGACCCAACACTGCCTGTTTCCAAAACCTTTTCAATCATCCTAACAAGAAACGCAGCCTCCATTAGGCAAGAACTCCCCAGTCTCTCCTCCTTTGGCCCCTGGTAACCACTAATGAATTTCTGGGTCTATGCATTTGCCTGTTGAAGACATTTCCCATCCGGGGACTCTGCCGTGTGTCTCCTCCCTCGGCATCTTGTTCTCAGAGCGGGCCTGGTTGCATGTGTCAGCGCATCATCCTTCTTCATGGGCCAGCGACTGTGTGTGTCTGTTCCTTCATTCGCAGATGGACACAGGGGGGGGTGGCCATCTTCTAGCTGTCGTACACCGTGCCGCAGTGGACACTGGTGTGCCACTTCATCCCTTCTGAGGGGGTTTTATTTGGCTTCAAAAGAAATGTCTGTTTCTCTCCCAGAGGGATGGACAACAGAAACGGAGGGGAAAGGCAGACATTGGTCAGTGTAAGACATGAAAAAATAATAATAATTTATAAATTATCAAGGATTCATGAGGGAGGGGAAAAAATGAGGAGCTGCCACCAAGGGCTCAAGTAGAAAGAAAATGTTTTGACAATGATGATGGCAACAAAGGTACAAATGTGCTTGACACATGGGTGGATGCATGGATTGTGATAAGAGTTGTACGAGCCCCCAATAAAATGATTTGTTAAAATAAAAAAAGATGTCTGCTCTACAACCCTGAGATCAGAAGAACCAGAGGGTGCCTGTCTGCTCACTGCTCTGAAAGGGGTCACAGT